ATTACATTCACGCTTAGACAGTATCTGCAAAATAATATTGATTTGGCACGTGGCAGTAACAATTATTGGCTCCATTTTTGAAAGATAAACAAGCGCAATGCATTTCATTTAAATTTCCAACTTATCATAAAGCTAATTTCAACACTACCTGACATTGATTTTGACTAAATAAGCAAACTAAGAAGGTTTGCTTAGAGGTGCAGATGAGAAGATATGCAACACAACTTGACAAAACATGTTCATTAACCTGTGAATGCCTTTAGAGCTAATGCTCTATTGATTGCAGTGTGTACTTTCATATTAAATTGAATATTATATTGTTTAGATTGACCTTTTTGTCTCGTTATGGAGAGAGGAATGACTCAAATTTGGGTATTTTGTATTATCACTGCATTATTTGGTATCAGTGACATGTTTGAAACTAGAATAAGGGGACAAAATCTCGTGGCATTTCAGAGGGAAAGCATTTTCTAAGACGTGTCTGAACATGTCAGGTCTGTTCAGCCAGTCAGGGAGGAAGAAATCAGTAGATAACAAGTCGTCTGACTGCCTTACAGCGAAGTGGCTATGTTTTACCCTTCTGACCTTTGACATGGAAACTTTTGGATTTGGACAGGTCAGCGTTTGGAAATCTAAAAATGAAATTCTCAAGGGAAAATGCTAAGTTAGCATTAGCTTTACAAGAACAGTTAGCCCTGGTTAACAGCGCTAACTGCTAGCATAACATCCTGAATATCATGGACATAGTCAACTCTTATAATAATTTTTCTGAATGGTAGTAAAACTACTTCCACAATTGTAGGTAGGCCTGTCACAATAACAAATTTTGACCCACTAATTATCGCGATAAACAGAACATTTTTCAAGTATTATATTGGTAAAATGAGGCACTCCACCCTCTCAAAAGCCAATAAATTAATCCAAAATTTATTTTTGGATGAGCCAAAAATAATAAATGGAACTGAAAGAAGAACAAAAACCACAGATAAAATAGATTAAGTTGACTTTCAAAACATATAAATCATCAGAATGTAAATTACTGAGCTCATTTTAATTCATCATGTGACTAATGACTTATTGTGACTCTTATGTTAGTTATTAAAGAGAAATTTAAAACCAAATAAAATTGCTATTGACACATCTGTAAGAAACTGCTGTAAACCGGGATATACTATACATAAGACAACCGCGCCTTCACTTCACACTGGACAATTAGACGCCTTTTCGAAGGACTCAGGAACAGTCCAAGATACAGTACTACAATGGCAAAAAATTATTTCCCATCAGCATTAATGTTCATGTTTAACAGACAACTTATCAAGGTAATCAGCACAGCTCAGAAAATAGTCGTGTTCAATAACAGAAGCTGAGATTTCCGACTCAGATAATGTTGCAGTTATGCTTAGGGCAAGATTAAATAAACTAAAGTGCCTGCAGCGTTTTGTGAGAAGATGGCTTCTGATGTTTGAACATGTGAGGAATGTGACGAATTAACCGTGGGACAAACAGGTACGGCAACTTAAACAATAAGCAGTGACATATATGCTAAATATTAAACTGCTTTCACCTTCACACTAAGCACTGATACTGCACTATGAATGAGTGTTTTCGTCTGTTTCAATGTGGTGTATTCTGGGACTTATGGAAATACAAATGCAAACGCTTTCCTGAATTAAAACACGAGTTGAATCCTGTCTGCTAAGTTTCATTGTTTTTCATGCCCTCTTCTGTTTCTCTCTCTCTCTCTCGAAGGTTGATTAGATAACAAAAGCATTAGCAAAACTAAAATTAGAAGCTGTCATTGCTGCTCTGACTGTTCGGCGAACAGGAGGACCTTCACAGTTTCACGGGAATCTGAGGTTTATTATCTAGAGGGCATTAACTTAAAAAGAAAAGATAATCAGAAAATACTTTTGTAGAATTCTTCTTCTGTTTTGTTATTCTAATTTATGATCATTTTGGTTGGGGCTCTGCAAGTGGGTTTTATCAAACGTGTTAAACACAAAGAAGCGTGAAGAGCACAAGAACAGTGGAAAAAGATACACAGGAAACGTGATGCTGAGGCTGGAGATGAAACATATCGACAGCCTGAACTGCTGAAAGTGTGGTTTATGACATAATAGCAAGAGCTAAGACGATGTAAAATGCTGACAAATGTATTGATTTATGCTTTTCTATTTTGTTTCAATAAACCGGTTTGGTTTGGTTAATTGTTTCGGTAATTATGGGTCCCAGCTGCATTATTTCAGCTCAAAAAGTGACTTTCATAAAACAGTGAGGCATATCAATCTCCACGAGTCTTAAAGTCCTTTCCAGTCAGCAGAGTCTGAGGGATGAGTTTCACATAGAAAGCCAATTAGTGAATCTCTGCGGACCCAATCAATGTGATCACAGAGCTGTGGGTGGGATCTGAGCTTTCTTAACGGCGTGAACAACTAGAGGAAATTCGTGACATGTTGATAAGCATCGACTCAAGGCAGATAGAAGACGCTCTGCTGACGCAGGCGAATCAACAACACTAATCTGAAAAGTAAAACATATTTAATTACAGCGACAGAATGACACGATTATTCAGGAACTAGTGGGGGGGAGCAAAATTAATAACGGCGCAAGAAATGCCATGTCAGAGCTAATAAGGTGTAGCGGCTCGTCAACGAGCGTGCTAACGAGGACGGTAACAAGCAAGGGACAAAATTAGCAAAGCATAATTAAACCTAAGAAAGATGCATGGATTCTGCTTACTGGTAAACAGTGATGAAAAAAATAACCTGTAAGTTTATTCATAACATGCAGGAGGTCTGATGATTATGATTAAATCAGTGCCTCACCAGCCAAGAACCTCAACGCACGTCACTGGTGTCCAGGATACTCTAACAAAAGGATACAAAAGTGCTAATCGGCTCAGGCTATTGTCACTTGAGCATAATCCCAGAGTTGTTGACAAGCTTAATCTAAGTCACATGACTAAGGATACACACTCCGAGTCAGGGAAGTATAACGTCTCTACCACCAGTTGAACAGTTACATAATCCTTTCCTGGAGTAAGACAAGAGTTTGTTCAGTGGTTCCATAATTATTGTGACTTCTGTTAAAAATGTGTATAAAAAGCTAAAGATACATTTATTTTATTCATCTACAGTTTAAAATGAATTATGCTTTTATTTAAACTGGAGAAAATAGCAAGCGTGATTAATTGGACTTGATTGTATCAGCGATAAATCAAAATATCACAATAAAAGAGGCTATAAATGCCCACCGCTAACTCAAATATCAAAAGCGCATTTAAAACGTTAAATATATTTTTGTATATTTGGGGAAATGTAAATGCATTTTTAAATGTGCACAAACTTTATTACTTTGTAATTGGGAGGCAGAAACTCTGACTTGCTGCCATTATCATGACTGATCCACTGCAGCGTTCTTATGCTCCCACCACGATTAAATTATGCAATCAATATCAGACTGCCATTATCTCCCACAAGCAAATCGAGCATTATGGGATGCCGTCCCCCTGGCAACGGGGTTTTGCGGGAATCCCTCGTCTCCCATTGATTGGCCTGTGTTTTACAGCTGATGGTGTCAGTGCAGGTGATGGATAATGATTTCTGCACAAACATTTATCTTCGTTTTCTAGCAGACATAATGCACTGTCAGAGTTGAAGCTCACCTTTCTTTAAAATCGACAGTAAGTGCTCCTGTTTTTAATTTCTGGAATTCATTTAAAATTCCATTTTGATCATTAATTTAAATCTTTTTTTTTATTATTATCTCATTCAAAGTGTTTCATGTCTACATATAAATGTCTAATTTGTAAAAAGAAATTTATTTTTCTCACTCATTACGACAAACACTTGATGTTCCGGAAGCCATGACTTTTTTCTGACAATAAAAACGCAAAAGAAATTAAAATAAATAAATAAATAATATCACAATTTTGTGATATTGAAAATAATTTTAAAAATTCAAATCTAGTAAAGTGTGCTAAATGCTAAGAATGTGAACAGAAACACGTCCAGTTTCTAGAGGAATATGAACTTGTTTTCTTTGTATTATTTGAGGTCTGAAAGCACTGCATCTTTTTTGTCATTGTGACCATTACTCATTTCCTGCAAATAAATACTAAATGTTATATTTTTTATAGAACTTAACTTTATTTCAACTTGTAAATAAAATACATGGATGGCTTCTTGACCAAATATTTGCCCAACATGTGCAATTATTTTACAACAGTAATTATAAATGTGAATACATTTAACCTACATGCATTTATATTGAACACCTGGACTTTTAGAGAGTGTGTGTTTTTTTTAACCAATCAGAGCCAGAGCCCAGCAGGCCAATAAGACAGGAAACTGCTACGGTGAAATCGCATCCTGTACGAGAGATTCAAAGTCATCACGGTTACGCTAAGAGTGGAAAGTGACGCAGCCAGAAAGCGAATCAGGAACTTGGCTGACCTCAAGAGAACCAGACAAAAGTACAGAAGGTTGATCAAATCAAACTTCTTGAGCTTGATTTGAGCGGCGATAAAATTTCAACTTGAAACAGAAATATGAAACAGGCGACGTGAACATCTGACAGGCAGCTGGAAGGACGCAACAAATTGGCTCTTTGGGCCATTTGAGAAGCACCACGCACACACAAAAAAAGTTCATCAAATAACCATGTGAATACATCCGAGAGTCAAAAAGCTTTCAATTTTTTATGCACTGCTAAATTACTAAGCGGTTAATCAGAGCTCCCCATAAAAGCTATGACGAAAAAGAATTTTAATTTAAATTTTTGATGACTTTCTTTGACTTAGCAGAGCGCTGTCTGAATCTGAACATTTTATGGCTCTCTGACTTCTTAGAGTTTCTTTTCTAAACGTCAAGGATTCAGAGTTGGATATGTTCAGAGTTCTGAAATCCTCTCTAAACATCTTCAGCAAAGTCCAATTCAAGAAACTACAAACGTCCAAAGGTTTGGGCCAACGGGAACGATGTAAAATCGTCACCTACCTTGGCTCTTATCTGTCCGGAGGTTGACACTTTGCGGATCAGCTTGTGTGACGTCTCCTCTTGCTCTCCTTCGCTGTCTGACGACTCTTCTCCAGCTTCTCCAGACTGGAAGTAAAAATCAAAAATAGCTGTAAGATCGCATGTAGCTTAATGTGTCTGTGCACCATCATTGGCTTACCAGCTCTTACAAGTGTTGCCGCTGTCTGTTTAAGTGTATTGAGGCGTGTAATGTGAAGACTGTGCTGTGACTCCACCCGAGGAGCTTAAATATGCAAGAGTTGCACAGAAGCATTTACAGTAAATTGCACTTTGACCTCAGGTTGCCAATGAGGGCAAACTGGTTACGTTTTTCTTAACCTAAACCGGACAGCTTGGTGCCTGAAATCTGTAAGCGAGCAAAACCTTCAAAAAGAATTCTGTATTGTGCATTTGCTTTGCATTTTAAGACAAAATACAGACTTCTGTAAAAGATATACATGTATTTAACTTTGTGGCATGCATAATTTGATTTTTAAAAATTACTTCACATTCATGCAATATAGGCATGGGAGAACTGCTGGAATTTTCCTTTTTGATTTTACATTTTAAAACCACTGTCATGTCAATTCCTATTACTGAAACGGATAAGGCTCCATTTAAATGGCTGGATGGTTTTAAAAGCATTAATGTGGTCTTCACATTACTGATAACAAGGTGTACGATTTCAGAACCTCTGTAATCTCGGTTCATATCACTCAAGAGACATTAAAAAACTGATAAGCGTCCATTTAAACTGTTAATAAAAGCACTATCTCTCAGACAAGAACTGTTAATTAGCCATTAGTTTCTGGCACAAAGTAAACTGGGCCGACACACTCACAGGAAAAAAGTTTTCTACTACCAGGAAGACTATATCTCCTCAAAACATCAACAATCTCATATTAGAATGTAAAGAAACATATGCTTAAGTATACTGTAAGCCTTTTAAATGCTGCAGGGTAGAACTTGGTGTGAAGTATTGATGTCCCTTTTGTTTTGGCATCTGTAGAGTAGTTGTGGTACTTGATGTTATGCATAAATTCACCTGGCTAATACATAGAAACTCATCATTAAAGTCGTTTTCTCCCTAAAATCCTCTATCATTTGACTTCTGTATGCCCTGAGAAAGCCTTTCATTCAGTCAGATCAGTGCTAGTGGGAGTACTGAAACTAAACTCAGCCGCTCCTTCCTACAGAATTGTAATGCAAAGCCAAATTTAGCAGCCCAGTGGCATATATTTAAACGGATAATTAGCACCAAGGGCCAATTTATGAGAAACTGTGGTCTACCAGTCTGTACGCCACAGTGTAGACTTCAGTGTCCCTTCATTTAGCTGTAGCACAGCAAACACTTTCTCTGGAAAGTGGCGGCGGTTATGGGAGATAACTCTAGCTTTCCTTGCAGTGGATCTGGCCTGGTGTGAGCTTCTCGTGATGTGATAACCTTGAGTAGAAATAGTAGTTTCAAGGTAGGTAAAAATTACAATGGCATCTAATTGTTTGCTTTGTTTTGTTTTTAAACAGAACAATTGCAATTATTTCCACTACAACAAAAATAGCAGGTTGGTTAAAAATAATTTTAACCAACCTGTGCTTCATACAGAATTGCAAGTGTAGTGGTCAGCTGGTTAGCATCCTGTTTGTGGCGAACTGATGGCAGTTTTAAGACGTCATAAAAGAGATCAAATGGTGCTCCTTTAGTTTTCACCTCATGACTGTCTGTGGTTTTTATGGCTGGCAATATTTCCGAGCATATGACCTTTTTTTTTTTTGTCCTTTTTGCAAACAGTGGAGAAGTGATGAAGATATTTTTCAGCCAACTGACTAAGCAGTGCACAGCCAAAGGCGTTAGGGGTGAGGTCATGCTATGTTATGTTGGAGCAAAAAAGGTATATTAAAGCTAAATGCAGCGAACATATGAAACTTTATGTTTTAAACAAATCTATAGGTGCGACTAGACCTGCCGAAATAAGCAACAAATAAATTAATCACATATTAATTGATTTCCATTTGCATCGTTTTTTTTATTCCCCCTCTCTCTTTCTACCAAAAACTGGATGACAAAAGTCTTCGGTCTGGTGCTTTGGTCTGAACCAGCCAGGACAATTTTGTTTACAGAGACTTCATAATTAATTGTTGTTTCTGCTGTTTTATTTGTTTGTTTTGAATATTTAAAATGTCTTCCAGTTCCAGTGTTAAATGTTCATTAGAAATGAAAATGAACTGTTCTTTCAGAGTGTCTTCTTCTGTTGTTATTATTATGCAATCATCATTAAATTACTTGAAAATGGTCTCCAAACAACAATATTATCGTTTATCGCAATAACTTCCAGGACAATTTATTGTCCAGCAAAATTTATTGTGACACGCCAAGGTGCAACTCACCAGTATCTAGCTTTTTCTACTTTTTGTCCCCATTCTTCCCTCATACATCAAAATGCATGTAACATCATTATGTCCTGTAAACTAATATCTAAGCATTTTAACTTCAGGGGCGGATTCTTTTCTTATTTACTTTTTATTTTTTTGACGAGGTCAAATGACCTTGAAGTTGCTTTTTACCTTCAACTAGATGTTTTTATTGTGGACATTTACAGCTTTCATCACATCATGAATGCCGAGAGACAACGACGACTTATATTTAGATATGTACACAAAAAAAGAGAAAAAAAGGTGAGTCATATTTCTCTGGAGTTGAGCAACAGATAACGACACTGGAAAACTTCAACCTTTGAACTTGCTGTAAAAAAAAAAAAGTTGCGAGCATTTGATGATGCTTATAAATTTAGCTGTGTATGTTGAATGAGATTGTGTGAAACCAACACATAGCACTTGTCACTTTCAACTTTTGTAAGAGTTGGCAACTCATTCCGGTTCCGGTAAGGTTCACATTTTGTGACTGATTTATTCGGTTTCCTGTCGGGGGAACAACGCTTGTCCGAAACTGAGCGCCGGTGTGGCCTTACGTGTTTGACACAATATGATAATCCTAAGTAAAAATCACAGCTTCTTTATCTCAAAGTAATTACGCCAGGATGTAAATAAAAATGCACAACATGCTATCATTACTTTCATTTAAAATAAAGAAAGCAACAACAGATCTTTCTGCTGCAAAAATAACACAAACGATTAGGTTTTTGTTGGTATTCATTACATTGTGTTGTTTTGATCTGTAAACTCAGGCAAACACTGCATAAAAATCAGTATTAATTTACAATCAAAGACGCTCGTTACACCGAATTTCATCCCTTTTTGTCAAACTTCTCTTTGAAGAACAATGCAGTGAGCAGCGGGTGAACTCTGGGACGTTACTCACAGACTGCAAGCTGCAGTTTTAGTTTGTCTTTCATTTTTATCTCCATTTTATTCTGTAAAATCCGTCTTTTGTGTAAGTGAAATAAAAGTGTGGAAGTAATAGGTAGGGGAGGGGCAGGTGCAATACCGCACACCTTCTGATACCAATTGTCGCTTTTTAATACATCTAATTCTTCTGGTCGTGTGAATGCAACATGAATTTCAAGACAACGATCATGCGTCAAAGCGCAGGTTTCTAGCCTTTACCTGGCTATTTTAAAACACAAAAATGGTGGAAAAGAACATTTGACCGATCTAGAAACCACAGCAATCAAGCTTTACACAGAGCACAAAAACCAAAGCAAACACTCACAATATGAGTCCTTTCAGAATCAGCTTGGGGAGATCCCAGGGACTCTCCAGGCTCCGCCACGTACAGGACGTTGGGGTTCAGCTTGGATGCCATGGCCAATTACAGGAAGTAGAACAGGTGAGAGGACAGAAGGACGTAGACGACGGCTTTGAGAAGTTCTAGATAAAAGAGGAGAAGGAGGAAGGGGGGAGAGACAGAGGGGGAGATTGGAGAGGTGAAAGCTGCAGACAGAAGCCTTCAGGGTCGTCCTTTAGCAGATCTCTCTCTGTCCAGGTCAAACTCTGGAAAAAGATGGAGATGGAGGGATGAATTATTGATTAGAAGAAAGCAGCTCTGTTTTTTTTCTTCTTTTTTCCTAAAAGCAAGTGAGAGTGCTCTGAGGTTCTCAAAGTTGGGGACACAGACAGCAATCTGCCCTGTCTGTGTGTAAACGCTGCTTGTGCTCTCTACCAGGCATATCCACTTCTTTTTCTCGCTTCCTCTTTGTTCGCTTCCTCAGTGACTTTGTGTAAAAAATCACTGGGAATATTTTTTTTAAGAGCGGCTCTGAGGTTTGTGCAGGCCTATGGTGATGGAAGTGCCGTGGCTGACGACAGTAAGCGGGGCTGATGATGGTGAACGTCACCTTAAGCAATATTGCAGGATGCAGCAACGCGAAACCGAGGCCGACGAGATAACGGGGGACTCCGCGTGCTTCGGAGCATTCTGCACGCGCTCGGACACTTAAAATTTAAACAGCGTGGGGGTGTTTTTCTTCTTCTTCTTTGTATTTCCTTTTTTTTCGGGAAAAAGGGGAAAAAAATCTTAAATGAAGTATGTCGGCTTGTTGCGTGGGTGCGTGCGTGCAAGCGCGCGTGTGGGTTTCCTTGATTACGATGTGTCCACGTTCTTCTTCGAAAGGACCTGTCTGCATCTCACCCCCCCCCCCCCGACCTGACCGCTCGAGACCTCAAGGAACACTTCCTCCACGTACATGTGAGCAAATGAGAACGAAGGCAAAAGCGCGAGAGAACGGACGGCGTTCTATGTTATATATACATATATATTTTTTTTACGCGGACGTGTCTTTTACACATTTATCAAACGGCAGCGAACGCACAACAGGCGCTTCTCTCATTCATTCCGTGCACAAGCTCACACCCGACACTTATTTAACTCCTGGCTGCATTCGCTTCGCCTGGCTCAGCTGTCATGAGAGCGAAAGCGTTCATAGGCGACCTGTGTGCGCCGACAAAAAACAGAACATTTAGACAGAAAGAAGAAAAAAAAAACAGCGAGGCTGCCGCTTACCTCCAGACTGCACTCAGCGGCGTCTGTGCTGCCCCCGTTGCCCGGCCTGGGTGCCTCGTCAGCCGGCGTTGGGGGTACTGCTGTGGGCCGGCGGTCAGCACGAGCGTGCGGCTCTCTCTGGTGGTGCTCGTCTTGCGGAGAGAGACGCGGTCATACGCATAGCGTCGGAGCGGCTCTGAATCAGGTAGGAAGAGGAGGGAGAGAAGCAGGGAGGGAGAGCGAGGGAGAGAGAGAGAGAGAGAGAGAGAGAGAGAGAGAGAGAGAGAGAGAGAGGCCGTGTCGCGTCGGAACGCCGTACGGAGGTTAAACGGGGAGCAAACAACGCGCGCGCAAGCACGACAGGCGCGTGCAAGAGCGAGGTAGAGCGCGAGGACCCAAACAAGACTGAGACAGAGACAGGAATAAAACATCGTACTGTGTCCGCATACCCCCAATGACCTTTTCCTTCTTGTGTCGCGTCACAAAAAAGTTCAGTGTTTTTTTTTTATTGATGTAGTGAATAATTGTTAAATATATAGAAAAAAACATGATTTTCTATGTGTTCAACGTGTATTTTTATATGTTATATGTTGTATTCCTCCATCTGCCCCTTTTCTCTTTACCCAGTGTGAAATGTGGTGATGGCAGCATCATGCTGTTGGGCTTTTTTTGTTTGTTTGTTTTATTCAGGAAAGCTGGATAATAAGTACAAGATAAGATTGAACTGTGTAAAACGATCCAAACCCTTTGAAATACCTGTTTGTTCCCCTTCGGGTCCAAACAGGTGGTGGCGCTGCATCGAGGAGAAAACATGCGAGCCATTGAGGATGAAGTGAGCGCCAGAACAGGGAATTCCTCCTTGGCAAAATGGAAACGAAATTGGTCTGGGGTTAGATATTAAAAGTGGTAGGACTTATCTTTTGGAAAAGACCACGACTTTTCCCAAAGATGAGTTTGTTTTGGTCGACTCGTATTTACCCAGAATTCCCAGAGCTGCTTTTGTCATTTGCCTTGAAACCAGACTTTCTAGTCAAATGAACTAGAGTTTGATGAAAGTGAACTAAGCAGGCCTGGTGTGAATGCACCCTAAGTAACTTGGTGTGTTAACCTGAATGATAGAAAGATGGAGCCGGAGATGGACAGAGGGTTTAGTCTCCAGTCAGGCTTTTCTCCATTGTTGTGAAGAAAGACCTGACATATCAGGAAGGAAACCCCTTGATTTACTGGTTGGTAAACATTCCAACATTTGGTTATGGTTGTAAGAAATGGATCATGACCAAAAGAGCAAGATCCCTGGTTAAAAGCGGTACAAATGGGCTTCCTCTGTGGAGTGGCTGGGCAGGGTGGAGAGTTTTGTCATCCAAGGGGAAATGGCAGAGCAGCTACTCCTCCACGTTAAAAGGAGTCTGCTGTGGATGTTTGTGACCCAGAACCCTAGGGAATAACCACAGAATCTGGACAAAATTTGATCCCATCAGTTTTAAGATGGGATCAAATTTAAGGGCTCATCTGAAGGAGGGCACCATTCAAGAACTACCACTGTTGTAGATCGCAACAGTGGATTATTGCAAAAAAAGAATTATAGCCACAATTAAATAAATCAATGAACTCATTGACACTTGAATTAACCAACTTAACCATGTGGCTTATTGATGGAACAAACTATCTTCCCTTGGGCTGATTTAACAGCTCTTGGTTGCTTTCAGTCCTAATAAATAAGCTCCGGGTGCAAAATAAATTGTGTATGTTCAGAGCTCCATTTCTTTTCATAGCACTTTCAGGTTGTCATGACTGATTTATAGTCTAATGCTATGGAGTTAAGCAGAGGCACGTGTAATCTTTTTGGGCGTTTTAGTGTTTTGCTAACTGCTGTATTTCTGCTTGACATGTGGGAATGTATTGCCATGTCCAAACAAATGTAGTTTTGATTTATGCAAGAAAAAGAGACACAGTTTTCTGAATGTCTCTCAAAATAGTACTTGAAGCAAACGGTTTGGAGATGTGTTGCTTTACTCTGATGCCCCGAAGCAAACCCAAAGTGATCAAGTGCAGCAAACAGGCGATTTTGGAAGGCTGTTGGTTTTCGTGTGGGACACTGAGCACATCTATGTGGCCGTGAAAACTAACCTTTGAGTCTGCTTCGCGTTCGCACAGACCTTTAATCTCCCGCGGCAATCATCCAGCTGTGCGAAACGATTGAGGGGGACCACCTCCTCCTCAAAGCTGCAGTTTACAAGTTTCCAAGATTTCGCCATTTGGAACATGTTTCCCCCGCAACTTATTATATATTATTTTTCCCTGGTGACAGGAGAGGCTCTGCCTCACTTGCCTCCCCTGGCCGCACGTCGCTGGTACGTTTCCTCTGTATCCCCTCATCCATGCTGAAGCATGTTGCTGCCACCACCATTTTTCCTCTGTGTTTCTCTGTTGGCTGATTATTTGATTATTATGAAGAAGAGTCAGTGAGTTGAATTCATGAATTCCATTTATTAATATCAAAATACAGCTGGTCCATAGCAGTCTAAGAGGCTGACAAAAAAGAGCGCCCTCTTTAGGAGAGAGGGCATCATATCCTCTGACCTTGGCTTTAAGGGTGTTTTCTAACATGCCATTTCTTTTAGCTTCAGCCTTGCAACTAGCCAAAAGAGATAGACGGCAGACAGAATTATTTATTCTCAACAAATTCTAAGTAGGTGGTTTCTGGAGCACCAGGATAAAAAGGGTAATATTAGTATTAGTGAACATTTTTCTTAAAACATTTATTTTAATCCTTTGTGACGGTCTTTTATGTAAAAACCTCTGACACCAGTGTGCGCCTCAAACATGACGATATGCAAAACAAAAAACAAAACAAAACAAAAAAACACGGCAATCACGTTGGCACCACTCACTGCAATAGTAATTTGTTTGCTGTTGATTAAATATTCATGGGGAATTAGCCGTGAGCCTGCCAACAACCACTTGATTTGCACTCTGTGTGTGTGTGTGTGTGTGTGTGTGTGTGTGTGTGTGTGTGTGTGTGTGTGTCCCTTTTATGAGCAATGGTGATTCTTTTTTCTTTTTTTTTTCTAAGCTCTCCAAAATTAATGAGATTACTCTACTTATATCCTTACATATAGCACAGGAAAGTTGGATAAGTGCGTGCTGAAAGGTTTGCATTCGCACCTGATGAGTCCCCCTTGATAATAATCAGGTGATGGTGTTATTGTGCTCATCAGTTTTCCTCCGGTTGCCCTTGACAACAGTGAGAGAGAGAGAGAGAAAAAAGAAAGAGATAAGAGAGGGAGGAAAATGAACAAGAGCATTAACAATGAAGAGTTTCTTCTTATTGATAACAAATTCTCTAAAACACAGGAGAATTGAGTTTGATGCATCAACTGATGTATGTGGGGGGAGAAAAAAAAAGCCAAAAAGCCTCTCTGTATTCTCCTTGAAATGTAAAACTTATCATATCCACGCCTCGTGGATATGATACCTTTTCTCATGTCTCATTTGTATTCTATTGGGATTTTACGTGACAGATAAAGCGGTGCATAATTGTGAAGTGAAAAAGGAAACGTGTGTTGCGCACATCAAGAGGCATCTTTTCATGCAGTCATACAGCTGCGAGTCTTAAAAACACACTGAGACTGAATTGTTTGAACACGGGGTGTTCGGCGCACCATAGATTTAGCTAAAATATCAGAAGGCCTCACACTTCATGTGAGAAACCCAAGGCTGCTGCCAAGAGGCGCCAGAAACCCCCCCCTAGAAATTTCATGGTTATCGTCACCTTTTCGTGTCGTGATACAGGTCTTACATTTGACTCATACTAGTCTTAAAAGAGATTTGAAAGGTCTTAAATTTGAGTTGGTGAAAGCAACCCAAACCCTGGAACATCAATTTCAAATATTGCTTCATATTATCAGTTAGACTTAGATCTGAACTTCAACTTAAATATAACACATGAGCATCCTCTGATAGTTTTGAGCTTTTTATTTGCAAAATAGAGGAAAATTACAAATAGTTTTAATTCTACTTCACTGCGACGTCCTAGTTTGAGTTTGTCTATCACAAACAACCCCGATAGACATTGTTGGATTTCGCGGATGTGACATCACAACGAGTGTCTCTTTGGTGAAGATTAAAGAGTTTATAATAAATATTTCACTGTTGGTGTTTCTCCCCTTGAAAAGGTGCTTTGACATGATTTAAATAAATCTAGGCTAATGTCTCCATGGTGTAAAAAATTGTTCAGGAAATAAAGACAGAGCAATAAAGACGCCTGTCTCTTGCTGTCACACACCCCCCCCCACACACATACACACACATGTACCTACTTCATGCTCTCCCTGGGAGCTCTGCACAGGCTGTCAAATTTCCTCTCTTCCTCATCCAACTGTTGCACAGCGTGAGCAGAAACCGGAGCCGAGCAATGAAAGAAACTTAGAACTGAGAGATAATTAGTGTCTCTGTGTTTCATATCAAACCAAGGGCAAATTACCGCGCTGCCACAATCATCATGCAAACACAAACGTATCGTCGCACACACACCCTGCGTTAATCCTTCACTACCAGAAGACACAGTATTTATTTATTCTGTCATAATATAGCTAATGTAATAATCAGGGAATGGGCTTATTAAATTATCTGCACAGGAAAATATTAGTTCCTTTAAAATGGCAGTATGTGCCTTTAGTAAAGGGGGAGGGGGTATACAGATTTATTAAACTGTTGCCATGTCATGACACCATGTTATGAGACATATAACCTGTGAAAAGATTTATCTCCTCCACTTCTTCCCTGAGCTGTCAGAAGAAGTGCCCTCTCTCAAGCAAAAACAACCAATCAGAGCCAGGAGGAGGGCCTTAGCGCTGACAATCAAGGTGCCAAATGGGCTAACAGTGGAGGAACAACTTATTGCTACAGAAAAGCTGTTTGTCTGCGGTCACTGGTGGTCATGCTAACTAGCCATAGGAGACGAGACGGAGAAACGGCAGCAGCAGCGCCACACAAGACTGTCAGTGACAGCTCTAAACCCCGCCTCTCAGCTCTGATTGGTTGGTTCCAGTTAGCAATGGGAGAAGGCAGAGAAGTTCAATCTTTTCACAGGTTATCTGGCTCATATTAAACTGTGACGACATAGTGAAATATATATATATATTTTTTTTAATCAAATTGACATACTGTAGCTTTAAAAGGCTGCAGTCTTCGCCATGTTTTATAATGTGGACACACCTTTCCTGGGAAACACCATTATTTCCAGTTAACTCTAATGCTATATAAGCTAACAGATTAAAAACGTTCCTCATTTCATGACATTTAAGTAATTATAGCTTCAT